AGTTACATTGACGTTGTAACCAAAACTGTCGGATTTTGTATACCAAGTAAGACCAAGTGTCTTAGTTTTATACTCGGTGTTAATTTCCACATCGTCGGCGTGAGCTTTTACGTCCTCAGTCAGAGTGCTTAAAACGTCATTTGAATTCGAATTAAATTTACGTAAAGTGAAGCCTGCAGTTGCTAGAAGCTCCTGAAGTTCGTGCAATTTTTCTGCAGCTTCGATTGGAGTGTCTCCACCTGATAGTACGTCATCAATGTAAAATTCATTTAGAATCGATTCAGCTGCCCGTGGAAAACGAGTTTGCTCCTCTTTTGCCAGAGTACGCAATACTTTGATGGCAAGATATGGAGCACAATTAGTCCCATATGTTACAGTGAGCAACCGGAACGTTGTAGGGGCGTCCCCGTGTCGAACGCGCCACATTATTCGTTGCAAATCCACATCTTTGCTATCAACAAGAATTTGCCTGTACATTTTCTCGATATCTCCTGTAAACACTATAGGGTAATGCCGCCATTGCAAGATGATATTTGATAGATCATTTTGTAATCTGGGACCTATATGCAGACAATCATTAAGAGATATTCCGCTCAAACATTTATTAGAAGCATTGAAGACTACGCGAAGCTTCGTTGTAGAACTCGATGCTTTATAGACACCATGGTGAGGAAGATAACATGTTGAAGCTACATCATACGAGTGTGGCACCACTTCCATATGGCCACAGGTCTGATATTCGTCCATGAAATCTTGGTAGAGTTTGTACATATCCGGATCTCGGGTTAATCGCTGTAACGTGCTGTTTAATAATGCAAGTGCATTTAGTTTACTTGACTTAAGTGTTGCCAAGTCAGCTTTCTGCTGGATTGGTAGTCTAACTACATATCGACCCGTTGCGTTGCGTACAGTTGTACGCTCAAAAAAATCTTCACAGTACATTTCATCTTTTGTTAACGGAACGTGGTTTGTTATTTCTTCCAATTCCCAAAATTTATGTAGCATTTCGTGCAATGTTGCCCGAGTATGACAGCAATTAACTTGTCCTTTCACTGAAATAGCCTTTCGTCGCGACAGTCCACCAAAAATTACCCAACCGAGTTGCGTATATTGGGCAACAATATTGTTAGTTGGATGCCGTTTTAGTCGCTCATAGACAATAGCAGCATAATCTGAAGCGCTCAAAATCATATCGACTGCCCCCGGAACCTGTAATTGAGGATCAGCTAAATCTAAATTCATGAACTCACCAAGCGCTTCTTTCGGTATGGGAATGGTTGGGGTAACGCTACCCACTCGTGGAAGTATTAGTGCAACACAATTCATGTTGAAATCGGATTTTAACGAATGGATTGTAAATGAAACCATTCCTCTTGAATTGGCGACCCTTTCACCATTTGCACCACTCACCGGCACTATGACATTTGTTTTGTCCAGTTTTAACCGCTGCACGATGAATTCGCTGACAAACGTTGCTTCCGACGCGCTATCCAAAAGAGCTCGCACAATAAGCTTCTGACCAGAAGGACTCCTTACCTCTATCAATGCAGTGCCAATTAAAACAGTCTGTAGATGTAAAGTTCGAGCACCTTGATTAGCACTGGAAATGTATGTATTATTTGATGTGACAGCGTATTTCTTAGTCGCTTCAGTGGTCTTTTCCGGTATATTTGAGTAATTAGTTTCTCCACCACTTCCACTATGGTCATGTAGTAATGTATGATGCGCTGCATTACATCGCAGACACCGATATTTCGATGGACAATTATGACCCATGTGTCCCGTTCTCAAACAATTGAAACACAATCTTGCAGATCTGACTACCTCATATCTCTTTGTCCCAGTCATTTGCCGAAATTCTGCGCAATATGCCAGTAAATGCTTACCTTGACAATGCACGCATTGTTGAACAGTGGTATGATGGCTTTTCACGAACCCCTTTGTTCTGATAGGTGTTACAAACTTTTTCTCCTGATTAGAGTTATCGGTCATGCTATTAACTACCTCCAGCGAATGTATTCGATTTTCTAAGAAACTGACCAGCTCCTCAAATTTTGGAATTTGTTCTAAACTGGTTGTTGACAGCTCCCAAGCTGAGCGTGTTTTCGTGTCTAATTTTTGGAGAAGGGTAAAGACCAACCAATCGTCCCAATGCTGCACTGGACGACCCAATTGCTCTAACGCACGCACAGCTGACGTGATGGTGTCACATAACAAGCGTAAACTATTTGGTAAACCATCAGACACCGTTGTTAAATTAACAATTTGTTTTAAATACGCATTAAGAATGATCCTCTTGTTCTCATACTTGCGGACGAGTAAACTCCATGCTACTGCCCAATGTGCATCTGTTGTAGTAATGTTGTCTAGGGCGTGTTGAGCGTCCAACACTAACGCATCTTTTAAATATTGAAGTTTCTGTGTATTAGACAATGCAACGTTATTTGATACAACTGACGTGAATAAATCCTTAAATGCGTACCAGTGCAGATAATTACCATCAAACGACGGAATTTTAATACGTGGTAAATTAGACGTCAGTTCCATGCTTGACACACCTTTAATTACAGTTTCGTTATTACCTGGAGATTCTATAACTTCAGTGCTTTCTAACTCATCGATTAGCTCTCCCATCATTTCCGAATAAATTATTTCAATTTCCATGTAACTGTCTTCGCTAACTAACGCTTTTATTGTGTCACTCACTTCTTCCACCTTTGCACCGTCATAAATATTGGCCAACAAATCTTCTCGAGCTTCCTTGTACTGCGTCCAGTAACTTTCCAAGAGATTCTTTCTGGCAGTGAAGAAACCTTTTGTTTGCTTGCTTTTTGCCGTTTTCCGTATGTTGGTGGAGAAGTTTTTCAGCAGGGATTGCGTAGCTTCCAATTTTCTGGCGATTTTTTGCAGAAAACATATGTTGCTCCCCGCAAGGGATGCCAAAAATGTTCGTTAAATGCGGTTTTTTCTTTCTTTAAAGTTTCAAAGAATATTTCATTTATTTATCTCTAATATTACTTATCATATAAAACATATTTTTAAATGTAATTAGAACAAAACTCAAACAAATTTACTGCACAACACGAAACACAACCGAACACGACGGATGCTCGTACAACAAG